CCTCACCATCCTTTCTCCTCCACACCTCACCCCAGCTCCCTCTGCATCTCACGTTCTTCCCCACCGCGCGAGATTCCTTCACTTCCAAATTTTCTTCGCCGCCGCCTTGGCTACTCCCAACGGCGAGCGCCTCCCGACTCCCTCCAATTCCACCGCGACGACCTCACCATCCTTTCTCCTCCACTCTCATCATGAGCGCTGCCCCCCCGTCGCTCATGGTCTTCCACATGCCGATGACCTCCGCAGTGGCTCAGCAAACGGCCAGATTCGCACGCGGCAGGGAGTGGGAGTAGCGTGGTAGACGACGTAGTCAGCCGTGGGCATGGTTAGGGTTTGGCCCGATTAAAGAGGATTTGTGTTTTTACCCGGTGGGCCGTCAGGGGATCGAGAAAACCCTGTGAAACAGGGGGTACGTGCGTAGGAAAAAAAGGGCAGCGGGAGGGAAGTGCGCACGACGTGGGGATGGGAAGTCGGACGAAGGGACAACGTAAGACGGGAGACGGAACAGTACATTTCTTTTAGATAGTAGAGATATTGCTCCGGTTTGCAGAAGAACATCCACATTTGGAAGTGGCAATTCCGATATCCTGTTATAGCTTTTTTCAGGCAGTCTTTCTGATTGATCTTTGAAATACTCTTAAGACATCACCTACGAAGCTAAAATTTCAGACATTGCATAGTTCTATAGGATACAGAATGCATGATATGCTATATGTCACAGATACATCTCTCAAGTTGTAGCATACGTGTCCAGGACTCCATTAGACATGCACACATGTCCATGAATACACCAATATTTAAAGAGTAATTTCAGAATGGATCACTTAGGCTTCATCTTCCTGATGCTACCCAGCTAATTGACAGGTCCACATTAGAACCGACTTGGCTAATGGTGCTTGAACTTACACGTGATTCTTCCAGTGCTAGAGCGTCCTTTAGCTGAGCCACCACCATACTCATTGTTGGCCTCTCACTGGACACCTCTCTTGTGCAAAGCAGGGCCATGTCCACAACCTTCCAAATAGAACTGAAGTCATATTGACAGTGAAGTCTTCGATTAACAATTGCCTCAATATCGCCCATGATAACCTTCTCCTTTACACGCTGCACAATATGCACAGGGGTCGGCAAGATTGGAGGTTCACCTGTGACAATCTCTAGTAAAACCACTCCAAAGCTGAAGACATCACTGCTTGTGGTGAGCCTGCCGCTAACACAGTACCTAGAAAAGAGCAGTTGGGCCAATGTGCCTGGTTAGTTCGTTCTGTGAAAACTATTTGAATTTTATGAAGTTAAGTAGAAAATGAAGCAATGCACACATAGGCCAACAATGCCTGGTTAGCAGGATTCATATGCAATCACCCTTTGCTGTGCAGCTGCAATCTACTTCTAGTTTAGGCACCAAATATGCACAATAGTATGTATGTTTTTCTTTTTCATTTAATGTACCATTTATCGGATTTTCCACATTTTTGTTACTCATAACATTCAATGAGTCTGAACTTAGATATTTCATACACAGCTATAGTAAATCGCGAGGCACAACTAATTCTGCTGGGAACTTCTAATATTAATTTGGTGTTTAAATCGAAGACGCTTACATATGCATGGGTTCATTACAAAGGCCTGATTGCCTAATATGGGGCCTTTATTTTAATAAAAAATAATATAATTCAATGCACCTTTTTTTATAGTGAAGTGTTTTTTACTTCCTAATAACTTTATACATGATTCTAAGAGAATAGGTATGAAAACAAACTCTGGATCGATGTAGCCTAGAGTTCCTGCAGCTGTCACAGATATGTGACTTTGTGCCACATTGATGTATGACTTGGACAATCCAAAATCTGAGATCTTAGCAACCATGTCATGTCCTAGAAGAATGTTGTGCGCCTTCAAGTCTCTATGAATTATTGGTAATACGCATCCCGTGTGCAAGTAGTCCAAACCTATGTAAGATAATACATGTTATCATATATTGCTTGTGCATTTAACTGGCAAAATCAAGAAATGCAGTGTTTCCTCCAAAGTACACCTTGGGCAGCTTCAAGTGCAATCCGTGCTCGATCACGCCATCCCAGTGTCTGAACAATTGCATTTCTGCCTGAAGTATCACAATTGAAGTTGTAAAAGCTAACAATTTATCCGGATCCGGTCGCAAAGTGAGTAACACAAGATGCATTTAATGAAGGCTTAAAATCATGTAAATAGTTTTGTACATTGCATGATCTCTAAAGAACAATGATACATAGTACTACTAATCATAGTTTTTTTCTTTAGGAAAGGGATTTCGCAAGGAAGTCCGGGATTATAATTTTGGAATTTGCAAATTACGAACCTTGTATGTTATCATAAAGACTTCCATTAGGCATGTACTCATAAATTAGAGCTAAATGGTCCTTGTCAGTGCAGTAGCCAACCAGCACAACGAGATACCTATGGTGCACGGTTGTTAAGCTCCCAACCTACAAAATAAAATAAAATAAATTTAGAGTCTGAGACCCTGCAGAAGTGTTTTCGGTTCTGAAAGTCAGTTTCAAAATGATATTATGGAAGTGATGGAATCGTTATCCCTTTCGCCTGGCAAGTTACAATATTGGATATGCATTTATTAGTTCCACCTGTTATTTATCTTACCTAATGATCTACAAACTTCATATACCCATAATTTCACAAATCTTTTCAGTATACTACGAATAACATGAGAAATCCTTGGACAATTGAATCTATATTCTGCTTGGAATGCATACTTATAAAAATTGCCTGTCATACTCTATAGATTCAAATTAAATACCTCAGCTAAAAACTCTTCCATCCCTTTTCCTGTTGCTGATGTTGGAGAATGCATCTTGACAGCAACCTGGGTACCATCTTTTAATTGGCCATGGAAGACAGGTCCATAACCTCCTTCACCAATGCATGCGGAAAAATTGTTTGTTATTGCAACCAACTCCGCATATGTGAATTCACGGCTGTCGGATGTGTGTATATGACCTTTACAGTTTTCTTGACTTTTGGGACCTGGCAGATCAACACATCCCAGTAGCACACTTGGAACTGAATCTTGATAAATCATTTGTTGCAGCAAAGGAAAAAAGTCGAAATCATTAGAACTCGTATCTTGAAATAAACCAAATTTGTAAGAATTAACAGGACATATATCTACCTTGCTTTCTGCAGAAACAAAACACTGTCAATGTACATGCCAGCAATGCCATTATCACCACAGGTACTGCTACGACAGTTATGAGGAGGGTGTTTTCCTTATGTGGTGATTTTCCATTGCATGGATCTCCATTTATGGTGTCATACCTAAAATTACATTAAAAAATTGCTCTAATGAATTGGATGAAGGCATATATGGATGTTCCAGAGGTTGATATACTAGACATCAGAGTAAAAATAAACACTTAATATGTTGCTTTTTATTTCACCCTAAATCTGTAGATGTTGCATTCCAATTCTTACAAGTCGGCCTCAAGGAGGTCTGCTTTAAAATTGTATCAGCATCTATGGAGCAAAATCAAAGAGAAGAAAGAGATCCAAACCTTAAAGTAAGTGAGCGTGCCATGCATAAAGCTTCAGGAATTGGACCATCAAGATGATTCCCTGATAGATCGCTGCAGAAAAAAAAGACAACAAATCATCCCCAATCAATCTATATGACTGTCTTGTTTCATAAACTGCCAAAGCATAGGACTTACAGGACACGAAGGGACAATAAGTTTGTCAAAGAATCGGGCACTGGTCCATTTAAATTATTGAATGACAAATTCCTGAAATAGATTTTGAAAACATACCACTTACTGACAGAATTTCGAGCTATTAACTAAGAAAACAAACTTTTATAAAATTATACTCACAAGTATTGGAGTCATTTCAAAAAAGAAAATTGTTCAGATATTGCACCTTGCAAATCACTGTTGGACATGTCCCTGAAAAAATGATGTACTATGTTAGTGCTACTATGTTGGAAAAACAATAATTAATCCGCTGGATGATTTAGAGTTAGGGTTTAAATCTGGATAATCTCACACACTTGGAACCAAAATTCAGTGCCAGCTTTATTAATTCGAAAGTAGTATGAAAAAATTAACCAAAGACTTACAAAGTTTTTACTCTTGATGTCACTCCATCACTTCTACATGTCAATCCAATCCATGTATATTTTTCGGGTAAACATGGGTCACCCATCCAGTTCTTCTCGACTTGGTATTCACTTTTGATATTCATCATTGCTTCAACTAAGAGAATAAAAATGATAGAACAAAGCATGAAATTAGCATACTACAATAGTATAATTAGGGACAACCCTATTAACCTTATGAACTGAAAAAAAGTTATTAATTTGCAATGCATACTACAATCTGGTATTCCTATGTGAGTTATCTGTGATGTTTCTCCTTTTTTTCTTCAGTTTAAGGATTTCTTCACCTATTCAGATTTCAGAATTAAAACCAGTCTGAAATTACAATGAATACACATGATGTGTGAAGTATTAGCAGTATATATGATTTTTGTATGAAGTACACATGAAATGCCATAGGCATTTGCATATTTGGAGATGGTGCTGGTTGTAACCCCTTGAAAGAAGGGCTACAGGGTCCTGATTAAAGTAATTGATAAACTTGGAAACTGGTAGGGGCAAATGCAATTACTATTCCCGAGTAGAGATACATGTCCCCATCCTTTACCAAATAGCATCAGAAAAGTTGTGAATGAACGCATGAAGTACATATAGTTATGTGCAGCTAGTTAGGATGGAAAATCATTTGCAATGAAGAGAAACAAGTGAGAAGTTCAAGAAGCTGAATGTTGCAGAGGTATCTTATACAAAAGTGCAAAGATTTAGTGTAAGTACCAAATCAGCATGAAAATTCAGAGAATTACTAGCCTTATACATTTAGTGTTTCAAGTTTACGTTTATTCAACATAATCTACATAAAGAGTAGAAAAGGTAAGAAAATTCTGACAAGTTATAAATAAAAAGGATAGGAAAATTAAATAAAAGTTAGATGTGTTCTGAGCAAACTTGTCTTGTCTTCTAACGCACTGTTAATTTGAAGTTTAATTTTAAAGAATGGCACCACAACCATGAACTACATCTAGAACTTATTTGCAAGAAAGTAAGTGTTGATCCGATACCTAGCCAAAAGTTGCTTTGTGCCCAAAATTGGCTTTTGTACTGGATACCTGCCATGTTCGTGTTTGCACAAATGATTTCACGTCTCAATATTTGGAATGGTGTGAAGTGTATTATTTGTAGGACCCTATGGTGAACCAGACATTATCCTAAATTTGTTGCCTTTTTTTATTCAGCGTAAGGGTCTTAGTTGTTTCTCTTTGCATCTTTGTATTTATCATTTTCTCTTAACACATGTGAAAATGGCAAACCATGACTTCACAATTATGCAGAGAACTCTTCTCCGTTGGCTGGAACCAAGGGAGATCGGAATGTGGACGTACCATCTTGTGTATCGGTTGCAGTATCATCATGCTGGATGAGGTAGTATATCTCGTATGCACTTAGTATGGGAGGGAGCACAGAGGTGTTGGTAGCGATGATGCAGACATTGTAGAAACCGCTGGCATCAGTGACTATAGTGGTGGCAGTTGTATAGTCTGCAAAGAGATAGACTGGGCTGACTGGCCGATTATTTGCCTCCCACAGGAAGCCATTGTAGTATATATCAAATTCCCGTTTGTGTTGATTCTGGAAATCAGTATAATACAAATTGAGGTAGTACCCAGGCGGTGCCATGGCCAGCCAGGCAGAAGGAACTGTCCACGACAAGTTGAGAGGGATGGAGGTGGTAGGCGAGGTGACGGCAGTTTGGAGCACTCTAATTGGTACCTCAACTTCATCAGTTAAATAATGTTTAATTTCACTTGTTGTCGATAGATTCAGCCACCGTGAGGTACCGTTTGATGGCCACCACAAACGATCGTAGGGATCATCCGGATACCTGCAAAGGTAACAACTGAGTTAATATGCTTGTGTATATCTTTATGTGTTTATGTAAATTGTTATGTTTTCACTAGTTATGAAGTAGCAACTTTGTACTTATTTTCTTGTTGTACACTATTTCTGCAATTGATGCGAACCACACTTCCTAAAAGTTTGTATGTAAACTGTGTTTAGTGGTTTTGTATATGCTAATGTTTCATCACCGAGTAAACTGCATGCAGGTTAGTAAACTTTATCAAATTCTTTGCCTGGATTGTAAGCTCAAGATATACATTTTTGATAATATGATCCCCAGAGTTATACAAATGAGCTAACAGGTGTGTTAATCTTATTCAGCATGCCCATATATTGAATTTTTGCTCAATCTAAGTCTCCTCTAACCACTTGATTGTCACGTAAAAGAAATCAGCGGAGAATTATTGTTGTTAGTAGATATGAATGAAAGACCCAAGTAATACAATGTTTAGAAAGATATAGTGCAGTTCACTGTTCTTCGTCTTATTTACAGGTATTTGTTACTTTTATATTGCCTCTGTACCAAAATGTAAGACATTTTTTTGATTTTGCATAGGGCATTGAAAAACATCTTATATTTTGTTACAGAGGGAGTAGTTAATAGAAAATACACTATATTACTCTCTGAACTTAATTACCTGACTAGGCTGCTTGCACCAAGGCTACGCCGTTCCTGGAGCGCGATGGACTGATTTTGCAAGGCTACTGGGTACAATGAGCTCTTCATCTGCCTCATCTCCAGTGACGACACAAAGGCAGTCCCACTGCCAATGTCTATCAAGCAAACGGATATTGAGCTTACCTCAGCCACAAAGATTGCCTCCGCGACGTACATCGTTGTAGTGCTGCTGACGCTGATCCGGTCCCAGAAATGGAGCCCCATGTAGAGATCAAACACCAGTGGCAACCTGACGAGGTCACGCTCCTTACCATCATAATTCCCGTGCAAGAACGTTGCTCTCACGAGGTACTTGAGGCCTGTCGTGGCAGGAGACAAGGTGTAGCAGTTCCGGCCTCCATTGGGAAAGCTTCTGAGGTTCAAACTTGACCTGAGCAGTTCAAGAGCATTGTATTCTACAGAGATGTTGTGGTTCTCTCCGGTGTTTATGTACCCATCGTCTGAAGTGTAGTTGAAACCTGTTTTCTCGTCCAGGTAGCTGGATCCACCTGGAAGCCCGCAGTCTATGCTGATGAATCCTTCGTCTGCACGGATGGGGAAACATGTTAGGTAAAAATCAATGGAACGCGGGTGGAGCAAGAAATGGATCAAATCTCGGGCTGTAGTGAGCTGAGCCCTGTTTCCTTGTGATTATTTTTGTACTTTCTCAGGAGGCTTTGGTGAACTTTTCATTTTTCTAACTTCTGTATAAAATCTTTCGAATACATACATTGTGAATTGCTAGAAGTCGATAAATGAATTAGATGTTAGAATACATATTGGGTTTAAAGATAGAGATAAGGAGATAGAGATCGAATAGATTTAAACAATGTATATCTTGTCTTATACTCCAAGCCTCTACCCCTTGTGTATTATATATATACCCCATATAAGGGTCGGATCACAACAACATAGAACACCATAATATTCAGTCATCTCATATTTTATAATTATATTTAAGTTAGAGAATAGGAGTTAGAGATAGGATTGGTTTAAACCATGTACGGCTTGTCCCCTACTTCAAGTCTCTCTCGCATATTGTACTCTATATATATCCCACACCTGGGTTAGATCAATACAACAACAACACAATATTCTTCCATCCAATACTTTCACATGGTATCAGAGCGGTTTGTCCAACGACGCCGATCCTAGAACCTTCCACCATTTCCGCAGCTTGCCGCCCCCGGGGAGATAAATCTCCTCTCTCCGGGGGCGCGGCACCCGATCAATCAAAGATTAGATCGGTCACGTAGTTTTGGATCCATTTTTTCGAGTTCACAATCAATAGATCAATTCCTTAGTTAGCTTCGATCAATTCCTTTAGCCACAAAATAAAATCCCTAAACCTACCCTCAAAATTCCGGTGAAAATCAAGCTTTGGTTGGTCTACACAACGGCGGGGCATGTTGCCGACCGTGGGGGACGCAGTCACCGATAGACTGCGGCTTCTCAGGCGGAGACGGCGCACCGGCGAGCAGCAGCGAATGACACGCACGTTCACAGGTGGGTGTAGCTCCCGTAGAGATTTCCATCGTGTACGAGACTATGAGTACGCGGATCTCACAACAGTGATCAAGATCACGCCCGTTTGGATCAGGGGAGGGCGGACTCTCGCACGCGGATCTCCGGGCCGACACCTCCAGTACGCGGCTCGACATGTCTGTAGCTCCATCAACCCGCACGACCTCCAGGGGCGGCCTCGCACGCACACGCGCCGTAAGCAGCAGCAATTCCAGCCTTCCAGGTACAGGACGAGTCACTCCTAGTAATTCATCATGCAGATGCGCCATCAAGCTTCACATACATGCACGGCACGACCAAGTGCGTGCTGATGGATATGAGCATGCTACGATCGAGCTCCAACCAGATAGCATCGGCATCGAGCTTCTTTCGAACCCGACTCCATGCGTCTTCGGCTTCATCGACCTGTCCAGCATCAGCATCTCACGCACGCGGCGTCAATCTGCAACAGTTCCTGCGGCACATCTACTCCAACATGGAGGGGTGCAGCCAGCCGAACACATCTACACCGAGCCGACCTGCTGCAACTGCATCGACATCACCAATCTGACACATCGATCTACACCGAGCGTTCTGCATCAATATTCGACGACCCGAGCCGAACTACATCAACCAGTACGACTACGCCAGGCTATGAGCCAACATACTTCTTCATCACGGCGTGACATCGACAGTTCGTCGCCGCGGAGGGACGCCTTCTAGCAACGCATCATCGTCGACATGCCGCTGCGACGTCATCGCCGACACTTCATCACCAAGGTTTTCATCAACGTCGTCTTCACCAACATCTTCATCAACACACCGCCGCCGCCTCGTCCACAAGATGGGCACCCAGCGTCCTTTGATAGACTTTTCTGCAAGATGCGACCTCGACGAAGGCAATGACCGCGTCACGATGATGGCATCGACCGCGTCATCCACGACGGCACAACTGCATCGACATGGCGTCAATATAGTGACGACCCCAACACGGCCAACGGTTCTGACAAAACCAATATGTGCTCGATGGGTTTCCTCCGGTCTTGGCAAAACCGGTGGACTCATCGCCGACGGCACCCTCTGATATCCGCAAGGTGCATCGTCCACGACTGCAGCTCCGTCATCTATAACATCGCGCAATTTTTTGCGCCTTCGGCTTTGTGCGGCTTCATCATCCACGACTATCTCGACCACGGCTACATCACATGATCGGCTACCTCAACATTGACATTAATGGCTACGTCTACAGCAACTCATCGGCAACAACTCCAGTCAACAGCGTCCGTGTCGTCACTAGCGTTCACGCCACTCCCGCGGTGACTGCGGGAGGGAATAGAGGAGAAGGCAGGAAGGAACCAGAAGGGGACGCAGTCACCGCCCTAGGTGCCGACCCATCAGAGACGCAGTTGATGATGGCGCGGCGGAGAAGACGACGAAAGCACAAGAGTTCAAATTCAGTCGTCATCGTCTGCTTCACTCACGCTACGACTGAGGGGGAATGTTAGAAGTATAATTATGTTTAAGTTAGAGAATAGGAGTTAGAGATAGGATTGGTTTAAACCATGTACGACTTGTCCCCTACTCCAAATCTCTCTCACATATTGTACTCTATATATATCCCACACCTGGGTCAGATCAATACAACAACAACACAACATTCTTCCATCCAATACTTTTCACATTAGACTATGATTTATTGAGCTGAATATATCTCACAAGTCCCGACAAAAAGGCCTGACATGAGATTGTAATGGTTATCAATTTAGTGTTGAATTAAAGTATGCCAGAGGGAGATAGTGTGCTTCAGGGTGGAGTCCATGGCAATGCAGTTATAGGGAGGTCTTGTCGGACCAAGTGGTTCTGTCCCAGGCGCCGACTAGATTGTTTTCATTCAAGAGAAGATTCAGACCCAATTGTGATTACCCCTCAAAAAAAATTGTGATCTTTCATCTCTGTTAGGGGTCCTCTCATGGACTTAAGTGTAATTTTCCATTATATTGGGTCAAGTTTGTAATTTGTACTGCCCATCGCTTTGATCTAAACCTGATCATACCTTGGGACGGGTCGGGCTTAACAAAGCAGCGGACGGTACAAGTGTGGGCACTGAGTCCCTTGCGTGCTTTTATTTTTGGCTTTTGATTTTCAAACTTTTATATCTTTTAAACGTAAAGTCCAAATTAAGTTCTATTTGCATATTCATGTTTATTGTGATGAGTGCTTTCAAATAAAATCCATTTTGAATATGTTTTGATGAATTTTGAAAATAAATGTTAAGTTTCAACTTCTAAAACTTAGTATGCACGATTGATAAAATCATGATTTTCGTGGCTACGGCCGACAAAAAAGTACCTTAAAATTTTATCTATGAAACTTAGTAAAAATGAGCGAGAAAATTACAAGTTTCAGTTGAAACTCATAAGTTTCAATGATTGAAACTTGAAACTTATTACGCTCTTGTGAGGGGCCCAACTACTTCATAAATTGCGAGGCAACTGGGCGCCCCAACACGTTGATGAGACCGCTGCCTCCCGAGTTGCTCGTGGCGACTCCAGAGGCCCCACGCCGCCACCACCAAACCAACCGCCCACCACCGCTGCCTTCCCTAGCCGTCGCCGGAGGATGTCGCCAGGCTAAGCCCTGTGTGATGGACGGAGGTGGCGGGGCCTTGCTTGGCCTGCTCTCACGCCTGCAGGCTTCCTCCCTCTCCCCAAGATCCAAAAGTTTCATCACAGTGCGCCGCCTCGATCTGCTCGGCTCCTGCCGACGCTCATCGCCGCTTGCCGCGATGGGCTCCACCGGTCTCCCTCGTCCTTCCTCGACCTCCATCCGACTGGGCCGGGAGCGCAGCTTCGACCTGCTCTGCCACGGCCGGTCCTCGCCACCGCTCGCCGTGCTGGCATCCAACGGGCTCCCTCGACCGCCCTCGACCTCGCCTGCTGCGCTCCGCCTTCACCGCAGCTCTCCAGCGCCTCGACTCCATGCCTCTACTCCACGCCCTCGAGTGCTGAGCTATGCGCCTCAGCTCTGGATCCACATCCGCTGCTCCGGGATACAACCTTCCCCTCTCACGCATGGCCTGCACCAGCGTGGCTTGGCTCCATGCCAGGTCTTGCTCCTCCATGCCCCGACCAGCTCCTGCCTCGCTCCATATCGTACCGTCGCGCGACATCCACTTCCATCGTGCCCGTCGGCGTCCTCCACCATTTAGATCCGGCCAGTGCTCGCCGCTCTCAACCTGCACCACCATCCTCCACGTCGACCCTCCTCTGCTACAGGCCAGTGTCCCACGGCTGCGGGATCCATCGCCCCGCCTTGTTCAGGTCTTGGTCTGCCTGCTCGTCCAGCCTGGGTGGTGCGGGGTGGCCGCCCGACCTCCTTTGCTCTGCTTCATCCCCAGTGCTAGCATTGATTCTGATGCTTGGGTGAGGCTGGAGTATCTACGCCGGCTGGCAGTGCCTTTGAGGTCAGGTGCTTACTCCCGGAGAAATCCTACTCTGTATGAG